GAGGGGAGGGTCCTCAGTGGGGTGCAGTGCTGTAGAATCCACCCTCCAAAGCAGCCATTTTCTCCAGGGGAACTGATCTCTACGGTCTGGAGATCGGTTGCAATAGCGTGAGATCCCCAGGCCCCACGTGGAGGCTGGCAACCCTAGGCTAGATCCTCAGGGTGGGGGTCACAGAGGCCCTTGGTAGAACAATTATTTTTTTTAACTTCTTTTTTTTTTTGAAGAGCCTGCAACCTGTGTGCTTATGGAAGGCGCTTCTAGCTAGATAACATGCAGGGCAGGAGGGGTTAAAGCATCAGATTAGGATCTGGGAGTCCCGGCTTTGAATCCTAGCTCTGTGACAGAAAGCCCACTGAGTGGATACTTTGTAAGCAGTTCTCAGTGATCTGGAGCTGGGGAGCGTGATGTGGAACCGAGAAGCTGCGTGTGGGGAAAGAGGTAAGAGCCTCCTCTAGGCCTGCTCCTTTGCCGTTCCAAGGGCCCGGTCACACGGGCCGGACATCGCGGGGGGGGGGGAGGGGGGGCTAAGTGCCCCAGGGGAATCTAACGTGTGGCTGCCCAAGCACACGTCCCGGTCGAGGTCTTGTGGAAATGCCGATCAGACAGGTATCCTGCAGTGCGGCACAGAAGCCGCGCCACGCAATCGCACTGGCAATCGCTCTTTGTGCGCATGCGCTGTTGGGCGCTGTTGCGCAACCTGCGGAGATGAACAGCGGCGGATGCCGGATGCCACGTAAGTCCACCGGGAACGCGATCAGACGCCCGCCCTTGGTCCGCGGTTTCAGGAAACTAGTACCTCGTAGGTACTAGTTTTTAACTCCGCACCTTCGGCGGGGAGCCACGGGTTCGCCACGGGAGCACTGCACTTCCCAGATGTTGAGGTGAGATCATGCCCGGAAAATCCACGGGACTCCCGTGCCTCTCCCGCGGCAACTTTGCTGTGTGACCGGGGCCCAAGTGTATTTATTTAAGACGTGTAAACGCCACCTTTCCACCAAAATAAAACTCACAGCAGCCCTGCTGGATCAGTCCAAAGGCCCATCTAATCCACCATCCTGTTTTCTCACAGTGGTCTAAATTTTTAACACCAAAAATCAATGATTTAATAAATTATATAGATTGTTAGATTTCACAAAAGCAGTTAAAGCTACATATTGTGACCAATCAGATTTATCACCAGAGAGTGCAGTTAAAGAAGTAGGAAAATTTGCAATAACTCTGTCTTTGTCCGCATCTGACAATGCCAAAATACTCATACAGTCTGCCATAATGAAATGGGATACAAGATACAAGATGAAAGGCAGTGGCATTGATTTTTGGTGTTACAATTTGGGCACATGCATTTTTCTCTTGTTTACATACATTGCTGTGCCACTGCCTTTCATCTTGAGTCTCACAGTGGTCTGCTAGATGCCAGCCGGTAATTTAGGATGGTAACATCCATCTCTTGCTGCTTGTCTCCAGCAACTGATATTCAAAGGTATACTGCCTTTGAATATGGAGGTTCCACTTAGCCAGCATGGCTAAATAATGACATCTTACTGACCTACCCTCCTGCATGATTTTTTTAACAGTCCACCTGGTATTAAGTGGCTATATCTTGTGACAGCAAATTCCATAAGCTACTTATGTATGACTGGCACAATCATATGGATACAGTACTGACCATTCGAAATGATGTTACGGAGCAGCAACAGACTAGCTATCTTCTTCTGCAAAGGCTTTTACAAAAGGGCAAAATTTAAGTTGCTTAAAATTCATCATGGAGGAAGCCCCCCCCCCAAGAGAGAGTGCCACAGTCTTGGGACCACTACTGAGAAGGCCCCGTCTCCTGTGAATCCTCTGGTCTGAAGAATACAAAGCACTAATGCTAACAGGTAGGCCCAGACAGGAGAAGGTAAACCTTACGATACACTGGCCTCAGACCAATGAAGGCTTTCAGGCTCAATAGCAGAGCTTTGAACTGGGCCCAGAAACTAAGTAGAAGCTGGTAAAGTCGAGACAGTAATATGATTCATGCGCAGAACCCCCAAAGAGATCTCTGCTGCCACATTCTGGACCGGCTGCAGTGGCTGCCTGCTTTTCAAAGATAGGCTGCCGTACAGCGCATTTCCTTAACTTGCAGAGTGCTGCTTATCAGCCACTGTCGAGACCATCAGAGGAAGAGGAGGGAGCAGCAAGAATGAAACGAGGATGAATGAACATGATGCCGGGCCCCCGTTGCAACGGAAAGCACAGATACCCACAACCCACTTCTCCCTTGGCTGCCTGGTCTAGACATCACAACGGCAAAAACGACCACAATGAAACACAGCGCTATTACAATAAAGGCCAAAGTAAAAAATGATTGTATATACTCGAAGTGTTACTGTAATGTATTAGTTATTTCCAATATTCCATATGAGACATTCGGTACAAAAATACAGTTATCTCCATCAGTATCAAAATGGGATACAGAAAACCCTCACAAGGGAAAAAGTCCAAGGAAAATTTGTAAGTAGAATTGTGAGGGTTTTCTGTATGCCATTTTGATACTGATGGAGATAACTGTATTTTTGTATGCCTCATATGGAATGTTGGAAATAACTAATACATTACAATAACACGAGGAGGAGGAGATTGGGTTTATACCTCGTCCTTCACTACCTGAAGGAGGGTCAGAGCAGCTTACAATCCCTTTCCCTTCCCCTCCTCACAACAGACACCCTGTGAGGTAGGTGGGGCTGAGAGACCTCTTTCGAGGACTGCTCTTGAGAGAACAGCTCTGAAAGAACTTGTGACTGACCCAAGGTCACACCAGGAGCTGCACGTGGAAGCGTTTTTAGTCATTTTTACTTTGGCCGGTGTTGTAATAGCGCTGTATTTCACAGTGGATGTTTTTGCTGTTGTGCTGTCTACACTGTGATTCCTCTGGTAGTATGGTCTAGATGTCATATCATCCCCGGTATTCAGCTCTACCCATCACTTGGTGCTTCCTCCTGCAACCACCCTCTCCGTTTTGTAACGTACCTTCTTGGATTTGCTGAAGAAGGCATGCTTGATCTCCTCCAAAGTGGCATCTGGTTTGATCCCCAACAAATCATAGTAACTGCTGTTCCTGGCTGGAGACCTGTGAAGAGGAGAGCAGAGTTACTGGCCATGGCTGTGGCAGGGGTCCTCCTTTCTTGGTGGGGTGGTATTTTTTAGTCTCTCTGTGTGTGTCTGCACCTGGAAGTCACGTTGACCTCTGGTGACCGACCCCTACTGGGGGCCTGGAGGATATTCCCGACTTGGTATCCCAAAGAAGTCTCCCATCCAAGTACCAGCCACAGTTTACCCTGCATATCTTCCGAGATCTGATGAGATCGGGCTTGCCAGGGCTGTCCAGGTCAGGGCGGCAGGGGTCATTATTACTTCTTTTTTTTTGCCGTCAAGTTGCAGCCAACTTCTGCAGAGCCCGCAGGGTTTTCAAGGCAAGAGACGTTCAGAGGTGGTTTGCTATTGCCTGCCTCTGCACAGCCACCCTGGATTTGCTTGATGGTCTCCCATCCAAACACCGACCAGGGCCAAACCTGCTTAGCTTCCAAGAACTGATGAAACTGGGCTAGCCTGGGCTAACCAGGCCAGGGCCGTCATCATATAGACCTTCACATATGGAAATGGAACAGCTGCACATGCACTACCAAGAAATTATCAACAGATTCATGGAGAAGAAAAACAAGAAGAAGAGGAGGAGGAGGAGGAGGAGGAGGAGGAGATTGGATTTATACCCCACTCTTCACTACCCAAAGGAGTCTCAGAGCGGCTTACAAACTCCTTTCCCTCCCCCTCCCCACAACATATACCCTGTGAGGTAGGTGGGGCTGAGAGAGCTCTGACAGAAACTGCTCTTTTTCAAGGACAGCTCTGACGGAACTATGGCTTGCCCAAGGTCATCCAGCCAGGTGCAAGTGGAGGAGTGGGGAATCAAACCCGGTTCTCCCAGATGAGAGTCCGCGCACTTAACCGCTACACCAAACTGGCTTGGATTTATACCTCGCCTTTCATTCGGAGTCTCAGAGCGGCTTACAATCTCCTTTCCCTTCCCCTCCCCACAACGGACACCCTGTGAGGTAGGTGGGGCTGAGAGAGCTCTTTCGAGGACTGCTCTTGAGATAACAGCTCTGACAGAACTTGTGACTGACCCAAGGTCACTCCAGCAGCTGCATTTGGAGAAGTGGGGAATCAAAACCCGGTTCTCCCAGATTAGAGTCCGCATACTTAACCACTACACCAAACTGGAGAGGCCCATCAGTGGCTACTAGCCATGGTGCCAGAAGGAAGCCTCCATCTACAGAGGCAGCAAACCTCTAAGTACCAGTGCTGGGAGGCAGCAGCAGGGGAGAGCCTCGGCCTCTACGCCCAGTTTGCTTGGCCCTCCAGAGCAACTGGCTGCTGTGGGAGACAGGATGCTGGACCCGATGGACCACTGGTCTGATCCAGCTGGGCTCTTCTTATATTCTTATCGCTTATGTGAAACTCACCTCTCAGAGATGTGGTGACATTCACAGGGTTAGGTGGATTCAAAAGGGGCCCAGACAGATTTATGGAAGATACATCTGTCACTGGATACTTGCCGTGACAACTGAATTGGACCTCCAGATTCAAAGGCAGAGTACCTCTGATTGAGGAGTTGGTTGGCCACTGTGTGAGATAGGATGCAGGACTAGATGGACCACCGGTCTGATCCAGCAGGGCTCTTCATATGTTCTAGGTGTTGAGGAGCAGTTCAGAGGTGTGGGCTGCTGTCTGTGGGCTCTCCTGTGGCAGCTGCCCGCCATTTTGCTAGGAACAGATGTGAGAACTGATGGACCACTGGTCTGATCCAGCACGGATTCTCTCACATTCTTATCACCGTTGTAACTTCTCTACTGCTTCCCAGAGCAGACAAGAATATAATAGTTATGGTGTCTGTGTGTGTTCAGTGCTGTCAAGTCGCTTTTGACTTACGGCGACCCTCTGAATTAATGTCCTCCAAAAAGTCCTATAGTTAACAGCCTTGCTCAAGACCAAGGGCTGTGGCTGTTTAATACAGTACGGCACAACGTTTTAGCATGTTAGACTAGGACCAAGAAGACCAGTTCCCCATGCCACTGCGAAACTCACTGCGTGGCCCATGGCGTCCCCCTCCTGACCTCCTCCTGATATGCAATGCGGAGTGTGTAATTTTAGTCTTCCTGTATCCTGTTAGATGTGAATTTTGTAGCTTCAACTGTTTTAATCTGTTTTATTTTTATTGCACTTTGTGCCTTGTAAGCCGCCCTGAGCCTGCGTGCGGGGAGGGCGGGGTATAAATGAAATACATACATACATACATACATACATACATACATACATACATACAAAATGTCATTTCAAAAGGACTTCCAAATGCTGCGACCGCTAGGCTGGAAGATGCCCAGAGATGCAAACGGGCAGAGAAAAGGCAGTGGGTTTAAATATGTGGCTCCCCCACTACCACCACCCTTCTCACAGTGAGTTAAGATTCAGACAAGGTACCCTAGAGGCCTGGGGGAACGACACACAGCAGAGCACGTTTCTCTTCCTGACACACGTATACCGAATGTGGGGAAAAACAGGAGGTTCATCACAAACTTAAGAGGACAGGGCTGGAGAAGGATATTTATAACATTTGCCAGCTGTGTATATAATATCTCCTGAATCAGCCAACCAAAGTGCCTCCCCCTGTTATCAGGACAGCCTGGAAGGCGGGAAAATTGCCAGCGGGAGTGAGGGTTTTTTGCCTTTCCTCCCTGCTCTCCAGTGCTCCCCTGTTATTCTGGGAATAAATCTCGCTAATTCAACTAGAGTAAATAATTGCTTTATTTAAACAGGTGTGGCCCTGAGGCATGGGTGGCGTGATGCTCTCCGCCCACTGGACGCAGCCGCGGGAAGGATGCGTAATACACTGGGGAAAGAGGGATGGGGTGATCCTCTGCAGGGATCCAGACCTGGAGCATTGGGCTTCCCAGCTCTCTGAGTCCTGGGGATGGAGCAGCAGGCAGAAGGTCCCTCCGGGTCAGGCTTGGCCAGTCAAGAGGCTGCTGACTCCAGGGGGCCCAAGAGAGGCGCAAGCATGTATTTATTTATATCCTACTTTTCTCCCCAGTTGACACTCAAAGTGGACTGGAACACTGTTCCCCTCTTCCATTTTCTCATGAGGAGGAGGAGGAGGAGGAGAGAGTTGATTTACACTCCACCCTTCACTACCTGAAGGAGTCTCAGAGCGGTTTTAGTCGCTTTCCCTTCCCCTCCCCACAACAGGCACCCTGTGAGGTAGGTGGGGCTGCGAGAGCTCTCTCGAGAACTGCCCTTGAGAGAACAGCTCTTGAAAGAACTTACGACTGACCCAAGGTCACACCAGCGGCTGCATGTGGAGGCGTGGGGAATCAAACCCAGTTCTCCCACATTAGAGCTCATGCTCCTAACCACCAATGCTCCCTCTAAGCTGTGGAGTCTTGTGAGCAAAAATCCGACTGTGAGCTACCGGTGTTAAAGCCGTGAGCGAGCTATTTAGCTACGGCATAAATGAGTTTGCCCTGGAGCCATCCTTCCTGAGCAAAGACAAAAATGTGTGAGCCGGAGGCCGAAAACCTGTGAGCTAGCTCACACTAACTCAGCTTAGAGGGAACGATGCTCACCACTACAGCAAACTGGCTCTCAACCCGGTGAGGTAGGCCAGGCCAAGAATGACAGGCCCAAGGTCATCCGGCAAGCTGGATGGGCATTTGAACCTGCATCACCCAGAGTCCAGGTCTGCTCCGGCATCTACTATACCCCACTGGCTCTCCCTGTGCACACCGGGTCCCCTTCTGTGCCTGAAGAGAGTTCCGGGTCTCTCTGTCCCAGGTAGGCCACTAGCCAGGTCCCTCCCTCCCAACCTGGTCCGAGCCCCAGACACCCTGGACGAACGAGAGGAAGAGAGCTCACCAGTTGCAGAGGGCACTGGAGAAGGCACGGCGCCTGGCATTCTGACCCTGTCGGCAGCATCTGCAGATGAGACAGGGAATGGCTGAAATCATCTTTGGCCTCGAGGAGCACCACGCCCAGGTTCTGGGAAGCGGCAGATCGACAATCACTGGGAAAGAGCACAGGGAGACAATTAAGAGTTATTCCGTTGAATAAGACTACTCGGCACTTCGTTCCCAACTGCATCCGAGCTGGAAGCACTGATCCCTGCTCTTCCCCACAAACATTTCTCTCCCCATCTATTATTCTCCCCATTGGTTTTATTTTAAGATTGTACACTCGTTTGAATGGGAGTACGGGACCTATCTATCTGTTGCACATGCAGGTTTGGAAGGCACTGTACGGTATAACTATGACGCTGAACAGAGAAAATAGTATTACAGCTCTTGAGGTCATCAAAAGACTTGCCCCTAAGTGGCAGCCCTAATCGTTACCACGGCCCTGTCACTGTCTCCACGACCGCCTTCCTCACACGGACTCTAGGCAGATTACACAGTGTGAGTCCCTACTATCGATGGATGGGACATCCAATAAACAATGCAAGCGGCTTAGGGTCGTAGAACCAACTAGAAGTCTAAAAACAGAAGCAAAGTGTAAGTATTCCAGAAACTGCCATCAACGGCCTAAAGAACAACAAGTACTGCAGGAACAACCAAAACAAGTACTGTGAACTGACGGCAAGCTGAGAATTGTGAATGATGGCTGCTACCATCTATGGATAACAACCATCACTAGCATTTATCATGGTCTTAGAATTGTTTTAACCGTAACTTATGCTTTTAATGTAACTATCTGTTTTTGTAAGCCACCCTGAGCCGGCTCTGGCTGGGAGGGTGGGGTAAAAGTTCAGATTAGATAGATAGATAGATAGATAGATAGATAGATAGATAGATAGATAGATAGATAGATAGATAGATAGATAGAATAGATAGAATAGATAGAGTAAAAGTTCAAATAGATAGATAGATAGATAGATAGATAGATAGATAGATAGATAGATAGATAGATAGATAGATAGATGATAGATAGATAGATAGATAGATAGATAGATAGATAGATAGATAGATAGATAGATAGATAGATAGATAGATAGATAGATAGATAACACATATGAATATGATGCAAAATTTCATAGCGGGAACCTAGTTCTGGCAAGCTATACACAGTAGTACAGACCACTGTCCCTAATAATTTATTCCCAAGTGACTTTGTGAATCGTTTCGTGCAGTGCAATTCTACCGCCTCTTAGGAAAAGCCCTCTTGCCCTGACCTGCATAGCCCAAGCCAGCCCGATCCCATCAGAACTCAGAAGCGAAGCAGGGCCGACCCTGCAAGTATTTGGATGGGAGACCTCCAGAGAACACCAGGGCCGGGAGGCCAGAGGCAGGCTATCAAGCCACTTCTCTGAGTGTCCTCTGTGCCTCAGTAGGAGTTGGCAGAGGTCGCCATGACTTCCACGCACGCACGCACACAAAGCAAAGCCAAGCCCTCTTGAATAATTCAGTTTTGCACAGTTTGCGGAAAGCCATGAGAGTGGGAGCCGTCCCGACCTCCGCAGGCAGGCCGTTCCACAAGGTGGGGGGCTACAGCAGAGAAGGCCCGTGTATGGGTGGTTGTTGATTTTACCCGTGTGCAGGTGAACACCTGCAGAAGCCCCTGCTCCAATGAGCAAAGCTGTCGTGGTGGAACACAGGGGGAGAAGCCTGAGGCTCACTTACGCGCACAGTCAGCCACCCAGATATTCTCCTGCTCTGCAGTAGACCACAGTTAATTGTAACACGATGCCAGATTGCCCGGCAAACCAGAGTTCCAGTCCTCATTTGTCCAGCCAGACTGAGATCGTCCTTTGCAAGCCACAGTTTGTCAGTCACTGCAAAGCATTTTGTTGACTCAGTTTGACTTCCCTCCCTCCACATCCCAGCCTGCTCTGAAACAAGCTCAGAGCATCTTGCACGAAGAGCTCCACACATTTTATTCTTACAACGACGAACTTGGGAGCTGGGGTGGACTGAGAGAGTGACGGGCCCGGGATCACTCAGTGAGCTCCAGAGAAGATTGGGGATGTGAGCGGCAAGCTCCCCAATCCCAGTAGGGCTTGTTGCAGACCAGGAAGCATCCAATCATCCCACCGCGTGCGAGAGAGGGGACTGAGGAGGGATTGCACAACCATGTCCCAGGCTATGATCACACACACTAAACAATCCACTTTCAAGGCACTTTCCGACTGGATTTTACTGTGTGAACTGGCAAAACCCAATTCGAAAGTGCGCTGAAAGTGGATTATTTCGTGTGCGTGATTGCAGCCCCAGACCCCTTCCTGTCTCGTATTTGTTGCTGGAAAAATTGGCAAAAATACTTAAATATTCGGAATTTGCAATGGATCTTTGCTTCACTGCAGAGGAGGCATTTCTTTCTGTGTAAAAATCTTTATTTCTAAAGGGAAGGGTACACAGGAAAAGCTACAAAACAACAGACCTAAGGCTACATCTCTACTGCTACAGAAACGGACCAACCACACGGTCTCTCAACAACAACTGTAATGGAGATTCTTTTTCTTCTTCTTGACCCCTAGAAGGAAATCCCCTAATTACATTAACCAACGATTGTGAGTAAACAGACTTATATTTCCACTGGCTTTATTTTCATTGGCTCTGAGCCAGGTTTCCCTTCCAGGTCAGTCTAAACAACAGCACACAAGGTAAAGCAGATTAACCCTATAATGACTGAATTAGACCTTGCAACACACATATTTCCAACATTTGTTTTCTGTTGTTGTTCAGTCGCACAGTCGAGTCCGACTCTTCGCGACCCCATGGACCAGATCACGCCAGGCCTTCCAGTCTTCCGCTGTCCTCTGAAGTTTGCTCAATTTCATGTTCGTTGCATCTATGACACTGTCTAACCATCTCATCCTTTGCCGTCCCCGTCTTCTTTGACCTTCAATCTTTCCCAGCATCAGGGTCTTCTCCAGTGAGGGCTCCCTTCTCATTTGGTGGCCAAAGTATTTGAACTTCAGTTTCATTATCTGGCCTTCCAGGGAACAGTCAGGGTTGATTTCTTCTAGGGTTGACTGATTTGTTCTTCTTGCAGTCCAATATTTCCAACATTTGTTACATGGTACCAAAAACTATGGCTTGGCATTATGTCTGAACTAAGCTTTTAACCACTATGCAACCCCAGCTCCCATTTACCCCACATGGCTATTGGCTTATCCAAGAACGCACACGAGCACTGTGTATCAGAAAGGTGCCTGTTGACAAACATGCACGGCAGAAGCTTTTAGGCAACAAGCCACTGTGGGGTATAGAGTTGGGCCAAGGAGATCCAAGTTCGTCCCTACTCAGTTATAGGCTTCAGGGCATGACCATGGGCCAGCTGCTGTGTTTCCGCTTGATCTCAGCTTGCAGGGTTGGCGGAACTGGGAAATCCCGGCATACTTTGCTCTGAGCTCCTTGGGAGAAGGAGCGGGACACAAAACAGAAGAAAGCACCACTTGCCTTTGTTTATGTGAACACGGCTTCAGGAATAATGTTTAGAGGCAGCATATGCCTGGGGAAACCACTGGCAGGCTCTGGACAGGTGGGGTGGGAAATGAGGGCCTCGGCAAGGATCCACTGCCGATGCAGCTACGTGGGAAGCGCAGAACTCAGCCAAGGAGACCAAAGGGAGCCAAGAATAACACAGCGGCGGTACGTTCCAGGCCAGAGTCTGGCAGTTACTCGAAGGACGATGGTGGGTACAGTGCCAGCCTGCCAGCTCCTCAAGGCAATGACCGGCAGTGACTTTTCCCTGTCCTGCTTGCCTTTTAAAACACTTACTAACCCAGATTAAAGGCGGTGGCTCAAGTGGTTAAGACGCTGAACTGCAGGCTGTGGAAGGTTGGTAGTTCAGCAGTTCGAGACCCGAGTGTGCCGCATGACGGAGTGAGCTCCTGTCTCTAGTTCCAGCTCCTGCCAACCTAGCAGTTCGAAAGCAAGAAATTGCAAGTAGATAAATAGGTGCCACTTCAGTGGGAAGGTAACAGCGTTCCATGCGCCTTGGTGTTTAGTCATGCCGGCCACATGACCACGGACACGTCTTCGGACAGCGCTGGCTCTTCGGCTTTGAAACGGAGATGAGCACCGCAACCCTAGAGTCGGACTCGACTGGCTTTCGAGCAAGGGGACCTTTACCTTTACCTTTTTACCACCTCAGTTTGGTGTAGTGCAGACACCATGTCCAGTCTGAAACCGAACTAGGTTTTTTGCTCTGGGTTCTGACGCAAAGCACATGCACACGGTTATGCCAACATAAAGCACAGTGCTGCTCTGTGTCCACAGAGATAGATTTCAGTGGTAGGTATCAATCATTTGCCCCTGCCAACAGGACTGGGTTGAAATAGTTGCTCACGTGTTATTGTATGGTCCTTTGTATAGGGACACTGGGTCACAGAATCATAGAGTTCAAAGGGCCTACAGAGGCCATCTAGTCCAACCCCCTGCTCAATGCAGGATCAACCTAAAGCACCCTTGACAAGTGTTTATCCAGCTGCTACTAGAAGACTGTCAGTGAGGGGGAGCTCATCAACAGAGTAGCCGATTCCTTACTGTAAAAGAGGTTTTCCTAGTATCTAGCCACTGTGTATCTAGGTTTTCCTAGTATCTAGCCACTTTCCTAGTATCTAGCCACCCTTAATTTAAACCCATTATTCCGAGTCCTCTTCTCTGCTGCCAACAGGAACAGCTCCCTGCCCTCCTCTAAGTGACAGCCTTTCAAATACTTAAAGAACGTCAACATGCCTTGGCCAGGAGGGTGGGACATAAATTTGATAAATAAATAAATGCCCCCACCTCCTTTTCTCCAGAATGGACATTCCCAAGTCCCTCAGCCATTCCTTGCAGGGCGTGGTCTCTGGTCACCTGATCGTCCTTGTCACTCTCTTTTGCATGCGCTCCATTCCGTTCACATCCTTGTGGAAGGGAGAACTCCAGAACCGCACACAGTACTCCAGGTGCGGACATGACCAACATGGTTTACAGGGGGTCTCTATACATAACTCTAACCTTATCAAATTTTCCAGGCAAACAAAATGATCTTTATATTTCCCTCCTTCTTCCAGACTGTTCTAAC